AAAATAGGCCCGAACGCACTATAAAACGCACGAACAACTCAGACCAAGAATCATTAGGATGTGGATCGGCAAGAAAACGCGCCGGGTTTTTTTATGCGAAATTCGCGCGAAACCTCAGTTTCAGTAGGGCGAAGTGGAGAAAATGACGCCGTCATAAACGCGACCGTTACCTAGTAGTAGTAGTAGTAGTAGTAGTAGTCGTAGTAGTAGTAGTGGTGTTGTTGTTGGGGGTAGTGGTAGTAGTAGTGGTGGGGGTAGTGGTAGTAATAGTGGTGGGGGTAGTGGTAGTAGTAGTGGTGGGGGTAGTGCTAGTAGTGGTGGTGGTGGTGGTGGTGGTGGTGGTAGTAGGAAGTTTAGTCGCGGTTTAGTTGTCGTAGTCTTTGTGGTCTTTTCCTGCTGCCAATGTATCTCCTTCCCTTCGTTGGCCGTCCGAGCCTTCTGCTATGCCGCTGCACCCTATCACAATGCATCTAACTTGAAGCATACGTAAAAATCGTTGTCAGCAGAATCTCCATTGCATGGCGGTGATCATTGTTTTTCACCACATCTTTTAAGTAAGGATCGTTCTCCATCAGTTTGATTATAATATGTTTCACGACAAGCATGAGGATCGAGACAGTTTGTCCGGTTGAAGTTCATGCCCGCGTGCCATGGGTCCGAGGTTCAACACCCTGAGAGGGAGGCACATCCGCACCTGGCTGCCATGGAGCTTCCCAGTGTGAAGCTCAGCTAGGTCATTAGGGGTTATGTTATATTGGGGGTTATATTGGGATAATGGAAGCTAGGTCATGAGTTGTTGATGATCAGTGAGGCTTCAGCAGTCATGAGGCCCATCTCTTCAACCCAGCCTTCCTGAATGACCAAGCTTACAAATAGTAATAACAACAATGATACAATAATGCGTTGTAGTAGTCATCGTGGTTGTTGCGTTAAGGCTCATTGTCATAATTGTCGTTCTCCTTGTCCATGTTTCCATGCTGTTTGTGCTAGCAGTCCTGGTAGTGGTTGTTGTAGCCGTTGTCACTCTCCCGCCGCCGCCAGTGTCGCCGAAGGGTACTTGCAATCGCGGTACTTCTTTTTCAAAGCAGGGCAACATTTGAGAGTGGCTTCAGGCTCTCGTGTGCCTCTTTGTCGCCTGAGCCTGGACCTTTCAGCGCTTCCTTGGAGGCAACCTGCAGATGACGATGCCTAGAGTGATGCCATTTTTATGCAGCTTCGTTTTGGGCCTTGCTGCAACCTTCCTTTTGCCTTGGGCTGCCTAGTGGAGCGTCTGCTCTCAAGCCACCAATTTCTAGCAGCCTTGTCAAGTTCAAAGTTGCTGGTCATCTTTTGGCTGGTAGAGAAACCCTGACTGTAGAGTCACAGCATGATCCTTGCTGGTGCTGTAGGCTGGAGGCGAACTGAGTGCCAGCGGCTGCTTTTACCAGATTCTTGCAGGTTTCGCAAGCTTCAAAGCTTCGCATCATTGTACATAAGCCCTTGGATGTCCAGACGGCCTGTGGGCTCTTCTAGCAACCCCAAAAAAGGTCTGTCCTGTGAAGTCAAATTCCTAGACCAGCTCTGCCTCTTGAAGACTGGAGGCGTCCTTGATTCTGGCTGTTGCCTCGGTGCTGAAAAGAGTCCATCTTGGGCGGGCAAAAAAAAATGCGGTGCAGATTCGAATCAATCTTTGTAACTCAGCTGCCGTTGTAAAGTTGTGCTGGCTGTGTTTTTTGACTGTGCCGACTGTGCTCCCACTGTGCATCATGGCGCCTGGCACCCTTGCCTTTGCCTTGCTGGCTGCTCGCCTTACCATATCCACAGCTTCACAGCAAATGCCGCGCAGCAGATGCTACATGCCGCTGCAGCTGCTGCAGCTACATAGCGTAGCGTGGCTGAGACGTTGCTGACACGTTGCTGAGGTGGCCTCCCCTCTTTTTGTGCCTGGCGCCGTGCCAGGCGCCCCAGCGCTCCGCAAGCCGCAAAGGCACCGCGGACCGGCGGCGGACGCTTTACTCTGACCATGGGCACCGTGGCAAGTGCAGCAAGGCAATTTACACCAATTTCACTTGGAGATTACATGTAGGGCTATGTGGATGGAAGGCGCGCTGATGCCCTGGCTGACTGGTTCTCGTTCCTGCGGGTCCGTGACCGTCGAGGCATTCTGAACATGCTTGCGGCTATGGAGGACCGTGGGTCTTCCTACTGCCGTGTTCCCTGCCCCACCCCTGGCTGCCACCGCATGTGCAACCGTCGCCTGCCTCGGGGTGGGGCGCCTCACCGCCACCGTTTTTGCCCGGAATGCCACAATCGTGGCGCCTGATGCTCTAACATCTGTCTGTGCTCCTGACTGCCGCCAAAAAAGCGGGTCTGTCCGGTGCACTGTATTCTGCCTGCATGGTGCCTGTCTTTCACCTTCCTTGTGACTGGTTGAGGACTCTGCCTTGCAGCCATTTTCTCTCTAGCACCCTGTAGTGTAGACCCCCTTGCTCCCGTTTGTCAGGTATGATGACTGTTGCCATGGACGACCCGGCCACGTTGTCTGACCTGCTGACATCCTGGAATGCCCCTGCATCAGTTTTGGCTGCCCTGACTGCCAAGGGCTTCAAGCTCTATTGCCTGGGCTGTGCCACCCTCTGCCCCTGATGACTTTCGTGGTGGCTGCTGTTCCCGCGCGCCGCTTGCGCCATTATTGTCGCTCGCTGGTGTC